AAGTTGTAGGCTGGTCAGGCTGCACGGTGTGTTCCAGGACGGCCTGTCCTACAGAGTGCAATCTCACCAGAAAAAAAAAAAAAAGAAAAGAACAAAACCCAACACACAGGACAGCGTTGGGCTCCCCAGCAGCAAAACAACAAAAGCCTTTACTCAGCTCACAACACTGAGTTACGAGGTAAAGCTGCAAAGTGTAACAGGAAGGTGCGAAACCACTTTCTCCTGTGTACGTTGGGGTGTAGACTGATCAAGAAAGCAATATCGAGCCAGACACTGTGGCACACCCACGTGACTCCAGCTACTGTTTAGGCTGAGAGAGGATTGCAAGTTCAACGCCTGCCTGGTCAGCTTTGGGAGAGCTTGTCTTAACAAAACAAACAGCCCATCCAGGCAGTAGCAGTGCACACCTTCAGTCCCAGCGCTCTGGAGGCAGAGGCAGGAGGATCTCTGATTCTGAGGCCAGCCTGCTCTACAGAGCCAGTTTCAGGACAGCTAAGGCTACACAGACAAAATATGTCTCAAGAAAAACAAATAAGGGGCTGGAGAGATGGCTCAGTGGTTATGAAGACTTTGTTGCTAATGTTGGGACAAGGTCTCAGTATGTAGTTCCGGCTGGCCTCGAGTTTACAGTCCTCCTCCTGCTTCAGCCTCCCAGATTCCAGGACTACAGATGACTCAGCACCCAACTTCAAGACATTCGTATTTTTTTTCACTCTTATTTCTTGAAATCTACGACGTTTTATGCTTACTGTCCACCTTAATTTGGACCAGCACAGTTCAGTGCTCCAAAGCCAGAGTGCTGGCCAGTAACAGAGGGTGTTTTCCTATCACAGTGGGCAGGTAGCCTTAAAAGGCTATGATAGAAAGGCCAAATGCCAGTTGAAATTTCATTGTACACTTTTCACCTGCACATTATTCTTAGGGTTCCTAGGTAAAGTTTACGTGGCCTCCTCCTAATTCCAGACCTGTTCTTTTTAGAGACACTTGTTTGTGACAGGGTTGCACACGGCCCCAGCCTGGCCTTGAACTCCTGAGCTTCCTGCCTCTACCTCCACGCTGCTGGGACAACAGGTGTATGGCACTACGATCAGCTTACAATGTTACTTTAAAGAACCTTATTTTCTATGTACGTACTGGTAGCGCAATAAATGAGTTCAATATATGACGGAGTTCTGGCTAATAAAATCCAAAGGAGTATCTGTTAAGTCATATGGGAAAGAAACTGTTCTTACGAGAATGACTTCAAGAAGAATCAGGAAAGCGCCCCACACTCCTTACCCCTTACGTATTTTAAAGATTAAGTAGTACAGGTGCTTCCTGTCTCGGCCTCATCACGGCCAGCTGCTTCTCTCTTTCTGTTTGGGACATTTCCTATTGAGAACATGTTTAGGAGTGTGACAACTGCCTTGGGATGGCAAAAGTTTAAGACGATAAAGACAACAGAGGTTATTTTTCTTATCAGAGATGTAAATTTATGAAGCCAACCATTCACAGGGCAAAGGGGGGCAAGGACAGAGTTGCCTATCAGAAGGAAGAATGAGTGAGCCAGCAAGTTACTATTAGGCTTTGCCTAAACAGTAACAAGCCAAACCTTCCCTTCTTCCTGCCATTTCCTTCTCTTAAGGAAGGTTCTTCCTCTATCATTTCTCTCCTCCTTGTTTCTTCCCTTTCTTTTCTTTCTTTCTTTTTTCTTTTTTTAGACAGGGTCTTTCTATGTAGTCCTAGCTGTCCTGGAACTCATTTGGAGACCAGGCTGGCTTCAGACTCACAGAGATCTTGCTGCCTGTGCTTCTGGAGCGCTGAGATTAAAGGAGGGCACCACCACATCCAGCCGCATCATTCAGCCTTAGCTATACCAGGTGCTGGGTTACCCTGAGTGCTTAGAGTGTAGAGCTGAAAGTGACTGCAAAGATCATAAAAAGAAAAAAACAGTTCTCCGCCCCCACCAGAAATGCCAGGAACACGTGTTAACTCAATGTGTAGACACAAATGACAGATTTTTCAGTACTTTCCAGTGTCATGGTGATCACAGGCAAGCAGGCCCAGAAGGCTGGTTGAAGAAATGGCAATGTTAATTATTTCAGCTACTGAGTGTAAAAACTTTAAGTATATTTTCTGAAATACATAGGAGACTAAGTGGGTGACCATTATTCTGGTTCGATTCTATTCACCAAAAGATTCCTTTTCAGTGAACAAAGACATTTTGTTTGACCATTTATCAGTCCTACACCAATTTTTATCACGTGGGTGAGTTAGAAACTTGAAAGCTCTCCTTGCTTTCTAAATTCAAATGTTTTACATTTCGTGTTTGAATGTTCAGACTCTACAGCCCACATGTAGAGTCCAGAGTACAATCTTTAGGAGCAGGCTGTCTCCTTCCACTGTGTTCGTCCAGGGAAGCAATGCAAGCCACAAGGGCTTTGGTGGCAAATGCCTTTACCCCCTGAGCCATCTTGCCACCCCAGGACTCACATTTCTAGCAACCTTTTAATGTAGTTGTCTTTTCGTGGTTTTTGTTGTTATTCATTGCTGGGTTTGGGAGGTATGCTCCTTAGGCAGGCTTTGAACACCTGAACCTTCCTTCTGCCTCAGCTTCCCAGGACCTAGCACACTACTGATACACCACCACATCAGACTATATCTACTCTTTTTCTTAAAAAACAAAACAAACAGTGCCCACAGATGCCAGAAAAAGAGCACTGGATCCCTTGGAGCTGGAGTTATAAGACGCTGGGAGCTGCCACACGGGCACTAGGAACCAGACTTTCAAAAGCAGCAAGTGCTTTTTTAACCACTGAGCCATCTCTCCAGCCCTGGCTGTATGAACTTCATCTAACTCCCATACAGAATTTCCATTACAGATCTATCACAATGTCCAATAGTCTTTCAGGGTGGCTATGGTGGTGCACCTCTGTAGTCCCAGTACTTGAGAGGATGAAGCAGGAAGATTCCAAGTTTGAAGCCATCCTGGGTTACACAACGAGATCCTCCCTCAAAACAAACAGGCAAACAACCACTGCCATCTGATGACAGACTGTTAGTCTTGACAAAGGAAGCCCTCCTTTGAGTTAGTCTAGTCATAAATGTGAGCAAGAAATTCATTTGCCTTTTCTGTTTTTCCTTTATAAAGAAAGTATCAGTTCAAGATAGGCGTGGAAATCTGGTTATCATCTTACCTCAACTATGCTATTGTTCTTGTAGATAACATAGCTTTTTAAAGTAAGTTGTTCCCACCTGTTTCCGTATTTAAGCTAGGGTCTCATGTAGTCCAGACTGGCCTGTGACACAGTACGTTGATGGGGTTGACCTAAACTTCTGATCCTGCCTCTACATAGGGGAACACCCAGACCTGTGCCACTAGGTCCCATTTTATTGTTTTGGGTGGAGCCCATAGCTTTTATGCAAGGAGCCTCCCAACTGAGCTACAAAACCCAGCCACCTATATTCCTTTTTTTTTTTTTGCCACGTATCACCATACCTAGATGGTACAGAAAAATTGTTAAAAAATACTATAAATCTTACTATCATGTCAAACATAGAGAAAATTGAGAGGTGAGCTGATGGCTTCTCTTGTGACTGATGTTGGAAGCATGAAAAGCCTTCAAAATCTGGCTTTTTCTGTTCACATACATACATCTTCCTCTTACTAATCAAAACTTAATTTTTCTGGTACAAAAGGTAAAGACTTCAGATTCACCAGTTAAAAAATAACGAAGGCCTAATAAGATTGTCAAAAACTTCTATTCCTTAAACCTAAAAAAAACTCAGGCTTAACTTACTTGCCAGGTATCTGTTTTTTGAGGTATGTTTTTTGGAATGTTTTCCACAAAACTTAAAAAATCAGTTTGCCTTTACTTGCAAATGGATAATCATCTGAAATAATCTAAATCGAATGCTTATCGGTAAGCACTGACTTGAGTCCACTTGAAGCAAACCTGGAAGGGACTTTCAAACTCTTAAAAACTGGCCTATAGGCTTCTGCTTTGTCTGGCTACTGCCTCTAGTGTGAGCTCTTTCTAGTTTTTTTTTTTTTTTAATTTGCATGGCTGCCTTTCTGAGTTTGCTTCAAGAATCAGCCTTAACCCATGCAGGAATTGCTCGAACTCAGAAGCCTTGGGGTCAGACTGATTTGCATCTTTGCCCTGGCCAAGTCCATGCTTTCGTGCGGCGTCGGCGCTGCCACGGCTCGCTCTCCTGCTCCGCTGCTCACGTCAGGCGGCGGCGGAGTGCCCGGCACCGGGGTCATTTGTGCTCAGGACCCTGCCGCGACACCGACTTGTGGGCGCCGCCGTTTTCCTTTCATTTCTCCGGGCACACGCGCCATCCCACACCTCCGCGGCTCGCTCCCCCGTCCCGGGACAGACAGGCAAGGCAGGCGCGGTCTTCCCGGAGCGATCCACGTCACCCGCGCAGGCGCACTGGGCGGCGGGCAGGGGGCCGCGCTCGGCCCGCGGTAAACAAGCACTGCGCAGGCGCCGTGGGCCAAGGTTGCTTTTTTTTTTTTTTTTTTTTGTCTTTTGTTTTGCATAGCAAGAAGAAGAAAAAAAAAGGGGGGGGAGGTAGGGGAAATCGCCAAGCAAACCCGAGCGTCCGCAGACGGACACAACGACCGGGCTTCCCGTACTCGAACTGTTTCGGGGGCACCAGCTGCGCGGCCGTGGGAGCCAAGAATCCTCCACGGAGCTGTCGGCCTTGAGCGTCTTCTGCTTTTCCGGCCCGCACTGACGCTGCGGGGAAGAAAAGACGAAAAAGAGAAAAAAAAGCAAAAGGCGATTTCCTTAAAGGAGAGGTGGTGGGCGGCCCCCTCCGCGCCACACGAAAACCTCCCGAGCCCCGGCCTTTCCCCAGACAACGCGAGATCCCGCGCCCGCAAGGGACTCCGCGCGCCCCGCCCTGCCCCGCCCCGCCCTCCCGCGGCGTCGTGCGCATGCGCCGGGCGGTTTTGGCGCGCAAACGTTTCAAAACTTCCTGCCTGGTTACAGGTGGCCGGTGTCGGCCGCCGAGGAATGTCTGTCAGGTTGAAGCCGGGTTGTCGAGCCCACAGCATCACTTTCTTAAGATTGTTTTTTTTTTTTTCCGTTCGAAATTCCACCTGAGCTTAACTCGTCCCCTCCTCTCTGTGCATGTATGGGGTCATGAATTGTTGCGCGTTTCCAGTGAATCAGATAGAGGGGAGAGTCCATCGCGGCTTTGAAATAAAAAATGTTGGGTTTTAGTTGTGTGGAACGGTAACTCCGCGAGCGGCACACGAAAGGATAAATCGGAGGGACGAGAGGATTTTTTTTTTTTTTTCCTTGAAGACTGAGAGGCTGTGATTGTGGACCGAGGTAATATAGTGGGATGACGTTGGGGAAATTTAAAAGTGGAAGAGTTAAATGGAGGCAGTACCCACATTCTTGAGATGAGGCTAGAAGGATTTATAGGTAATAGAGGAAGTTTAGCTCAAAATATTTATGCATATCTATGAGCAAGTGGGCAGGGATGGCGTGTATTCAGGCTGTGACAGCAAAAAGAAGTGGCGATGTCTTTGAGTGGAACAGAGATATTTCTAAAAAGTTTGTCATGAGCAAGAGCTGAGGTTGGGACTGTATTAAACAGGAAATAATCTGGAGCCTGGAATCTTACAAGGGTCGAGGGGGTCTGACCTGGCCTCTTTTTCTCTCCCAGGGCACATGGAACACCTGCACACACACTGGATTTTTGCCCCGCGACGTCCAAAAGGTACCATCCAACGCCTCAAGTGTCCTCTTCCTGGGAGAATGCCCTGGCCCTTCACCAACCTCACCCTTCGGCCAGAAAGAAATTTAGCTGACAAGCCCTTCAGATGTGTCACTGGCTCCTTACAAGATTGTGTATTCCTAGCCTGTAGTCTCCTGGTTTAGAACCCACTTTAATATTGGGAGTAATATGGTACAATCAATATTCAGTCATTCTCACTGCCCACAACCATTGTTTCCAGGACCGAAGTCCATGATGCTCAAGTTCCCTGTGTGACCAGGTGTACTATTTGCATGTAACCTTTGTACATCTTTCTGTGAAGTTTAAACAATCTCTAGATTGTTTGTGATATGTAAACACTATGTAAATGGCTCCTGTACTATATTGTATAGGGAGTGATGTCAAGAAAAGTGTACAGTACGGTTGCAAATTTTTCTACTCAATGAACATACCTGCTTTCGGCTGAATCTGAGGAAAACCCATAGATGGGGACTGGCCCCATTTCTTCCTTTCTGTGTGAGAGTTATCTCACTGCATTGATCAGACTGGCCTAAATGGGCTCAAAATCTAGGCTCAGACAGCCCTCTTGTCTCAACTTCCAGAATAGCTGACATTCTAGGTGTGTGCTGCAAACAGTTCTGAAGATATTTTGATCCTTGGTGTGCCATATGGAGTAAACATAGGAAGACTGATGGGTTATATTATTTTACTAGGTCCAATAGAAGAGTAGCCAATACCTAAGGAATATAGCTTCCTTTTTTTTTTCCATATTAAAACAAAGAATGGGACACCTTAGGATCAAAGCTGGTAACAGTGGAGAAAGATTTAGTTATTAATGTATGGAGGAAAGAGTCGTATAGGTATACACCTATACCTACAGCCCCAGCTATCAAGGTGGGCTGAGGCAGGAGGACTGCTTGAACGTAGCTGGGAAACAACCTGGGGGTGGATAGAGAGAGAAAGGAAGGAGGGAAGAAAGGACCAGACATGGTAGACCCTATTAGGAAGTTCTCTCTGGAGCACTGTATTTTGACAAACTGTATTCTGTTGTGTGTGCTATATATGCTGAATTCACAGGAAAACGCAGGAAAAACTTACAGGTGCAACAGAACAGGATTTCTGGGTTGAAGCCTGGATATTTGGTTTTAGGGGTTGGGAGCATCCACCATCTAAGTATAATATAGAACTGAGGATCCAAAGCTTGAGGCTGGACTTTTGGATCTGACAGTCATGCCATTTAGCATCTCAGAGCCTCGCTTTCACTATGTTTTTAAAGATTTCTTTCTTTATTTCGTGTAGATGAGTGCTCTATCTGCATGCATGCCTGCATGCCAGAAGATGGCATCAGATCCCAGTATAATAGATTGTCTGAGCTGCCATGTGGTTGCTGGGAATTGAACTCAGGACCCTGGAAAAGGTCTTAACCACTGAAGCCATTTCTCCAGACCCTGATTTTTCTATTTATAAAGCAAGGGTTATAGTAAAGGAAAAATAAGGATAAAGTGTCTTTAAAAAAAAATATCTTATTTTAGCTATGTGGTGTTTTGCCTGCATTCTGTTTGTATGGCACTTGAATTCCTGATGCCCTCAGAGGCCAGACAAGGACACTGAGTTATGCTTGGGAGCCTTCATATGGGTGATAAGAATTGAGACCTGGTCCTTTGGAAGAACAGCCAGTGTTCCTAACTGCTGAGACGTCCATCTCTTCAGTCTTTTACAGGGTTAGTGTAGTGACAAAATGAGCTACTACTGGGAAGATTGTGGTTTAACAGCATAGAACGTGGCATATCATATATGGTCAGTAAGGGAGAGTTTGGTGAGCAACATTTATACTTGCCGCCTACCTGCTGAATTGTGGGTGCTGCATGGAGCATAAGTTTTCTGTGTTAGAAAGCCTTATGGCTGGTCTTCTATCTTGCACAATAGAATTACCTGGGGAGCTTTGAAAGATCCTAATGCCTGGTTTACCCTACATCAATCAAATCAGAATGTCTGGGAGTGGTGCTTAGACATCAGTACTTTTTTTTAAAGGTATTTAGATTTATTTATTCAGTGTTTGTGTACATGCATGAATGAGGGAATATATGCATGCCACAGCATGTGTGTAGAGCTCAGGGAACAACTTGCAGGAGTTGGTTCTCTCCTAGTATCATGTGGGTCCCAGGTATCAAACTCAAGTCATCAAACTTGTACCAGCTGAACCATTCCAGTGGCTCACCATCAGTACCTTTTAGTTTATCTTTGTAATGATTGCGTGTTTGTGTATGATGTATGTGGACGCTCCTGTCACAGTGTGCGTGTGGAGGACAGCTCTGTAGAATCTGTTCTCTGGGTTCGAGGGATGGAATTCAGCTTGTTAGGCTTGCTTTGTGGAACAGAGAGCGCCTTTACCTGTGGAACCATCATCCCTTTGGCCTCTGCAAACACGCTGTGGCATGCATGGACTCTCTCATGCATGTATACACACACTAAACAAATAAATCTAAAAGCCTTTTTGGTTTTTTGGGGACAGGATCTCAGTAAGTAGACCAGGCTGACCTCAAGCTCACAGAGATTTTCTTGCCAAGTGCTGAGATTAAAGGTGTGTGCCCCCAAACCCAGCCTCTAGCAGTATTTTTTAAGCTTTTTTTTTTTTTTAAATTAAGGTTGAGAACAACCATTTAAAGAGTTCCCTGCAGAAAATGAAAGGAAACTAGACCCATGGCTTAAGACCTGATCTGCCTAGTTATATGTTTGAAGAGTTTCTGGAGGAGTAAAGGCAAGGGCTTAAGATAAGCACATGCGTTGGGCACAGTTGTGTGTATTGTGGAGAGAAGGCACTGAAATAAACACACTGACTTGGGAGCAGTTGGTGTTGTCATTATTATGGAAGCCAAGAATATACTGAATTTGTTGTATGGAAGACTTTGAACCTCCCAAGCTGGCCCTTTGATCTGGCACAGGCAACACAAAAGATAGCTTGGTTTCTTTGCCACCTGGAGCTGTTCTGCTCCATTGATTGGGGAAGGCATGATTAAAGTGTTTGTGCATGGGTGGTCTTCTCTCCTGGGAGGGCAGGTGGGAATGCCTTTTTAGCAGGCATTGATTAGGAAGCCTTTCCACAGCCTATGAGAGGGAAGAGGTTGATCTGACCACGCTGATGGCTTTGTTGTTACTGACAGATGGGAAAAGTGAGGTTTAAGCCTCTTTATAGCCTTTCAGTGCAAACAAAATCACTTAGGGAATGAAGAATGTCTGGGCGGCTTCTGCCTCTCTTGCCTTCACTTCCCAAGTGTGTTGCTCCTTTTATTTTTTTTCCTGTCAAGGATGGAACCTAGGGTTTTATGCGGCCCTGCTAGGCAGGTAGACAGGTGCCTTCCAGCTGAGGTACAGCTCCAGCTAGGAACTTCACCTTCTTAGACACAAACTAACTTTTAGTAGCACTTACAAATTGAAACTGCCGTTGTTGACACAAAGACCCAAGTGTAGTTATGGCCAAGAATTATCTTTTGCCCCATGGGGGAAGCATTCTTTTTTTTTTTTTTTAAGATGCCTTTTTAAATTGTTAATTATATGTTTGTGTGCCTGTATATGGCTATGCACATGTGAGTGCAGGTATCCTCAGACCACAGGTGTTGGAGCCCCCTGGATTTGGAGATAAAGACTCCTGAGCTGCCTGATTTGGGTTTGGCGTCTACACCAGGCTCCTCTGGGAGAGCAGCACATGTCCTTAACCCCTGAGACATCTCTGCAGCCCTGCATGCTAGCTTGAGCAGGACCTGACTTCAGAGAACCACTTGCACATTTAAAAAAGATGGTCCTCTCGGGACAGGCAGGCAGGCGTGAGTGTGGTCTCTGTCCCAGGCAGTTCTTTCTTCAAACTGTAAATAATTTATTATTATTATTGATGTATATGTCTGTGTGTGTATGGGGTGTGGGGCAATCAGAGGACAGCTTTCTGGAGTCCCTCTTCTCTTTCACCTTTATGTAGGTTGCAGAGATCAAATTCAGGTTGTCAAGCTTGTGGGGCAAGCACTTTACCCCCTGAGCCATCTCACCACCCTCTGGTGATTTTCATGAGTTTGAGTGAGCCAAATATAAGTAATGTTTGAGGTTCAGGACTGATTTTTTTTTTTTTTTTTTTTTTAATCTGCTGGAGACCAGTGCTTTTGCATAGGGTGCAAAACAAGAAAAAGAGAGGTCTAATTGGGAGGAAAATGTAGCTACAAGGTTTGGGGTTATAGGTTATTGGTAGAACACACTGTTCATTCATAATGGCCTGTGTTCCACCATCAGCTCAAAAGCTGACACTTCTTGCTCCTCCCAGTTAACAGAAATGGCTAGTTTTGTGTCTTCTTCTTTGTAGATGCAGATAGATAGATAGATAGATAGATAGATAGATAGATAGATAGATAGATAGAT